AATTGTGTTTTATATATACAGTGGCTGGACAAAATTATGGAAACAGCAGGTAAAAGAATTGAATCACTATCTAAAATGGTGTTGGACTGCCTTTGGCATCCAAGACGGCCTGAATTTTCCTGGGAATTGACAAAGTCTTGGATAGTGGAATCTGATACCACTCTTCATGCAAAAATCGTTCCAGTACTCGCAGAGATGCCAGAGGTAGAAAATGAGCCAGAAAATTGTTCTCCAAAATGAACCTTAGTGCCTCTATGATATTGAGGTCCAGAAACTGCCGCGCCCAGGGAAGGTGTGAGATGTCATCTGCATATTCATCAAACCACAATTTGACAACACCAGCTGTGTGAATCAGATTATTATCGTCTTGGTAAATGGCGCTATATTTGAGAAACAATGTCTGCACCATGGGATGCACATGGCCAGCCAAACTTTGTACATAGTCGCTGGCCATGAATCTACCTTTCAAGGTGATGATGGTGCTTGCAGAATACCAAGATATGGTTGCCCAAACCTGATTGCACCTCCACCATGTTTTAATGTTGGCACAAGACAGTCCAGGTCATAAGCTTGGGATGGTGTTTGCCACATGTAAACACGTCCGGTAGTTGGGAGCAGCATGGAGTTCGATTCAATAGACCATATTACAGTCTTCGATTTATAGGTGCTGTACCACTCTCTCCTCTTCTGAGCATTAATATCAGCCACTAGTTGTTTGGCAATTACAGCTCACCCATGCATGTTTTGCTGATGGAGTTCCCTCCACATACTTTTGTGGACAATGGCTTTGGAAGACGGAGATCGAGCTCTGCAGTCACTTTTGCAGCAGTTCTTTTCTTATTCTGGGTCACAATCCTGCACAATGTCCTTTTTGTCCCTTTCGGTCAGTTGACCATTTTGACTGCAGTTAGGCTTCTCAGACGTCATTTTCCCGGAAAACTGTGTATGCCGTCATAACCTTTGATACTGTACCTTGCGACACGGCAAATAAATTGGCACTTTTAGTTACCAGCTAAGCAGGCGCCAACTATTTGCCCTCTTTGAAGCTCAGTAAGCTCTGACATGTCTCTGTATTACTAGCAGCGCATGCAGTGAATGATGAAAGTGAGGATTCCCAGCTGTTAGCTAGGTGTCTCATCACACAGCGAAGCAAAAGACCGAGCAACCCAAAAGACACCAGCAAATCATGTAGGGTTTCAATATTTTTGTACAAACCCTCTATGTCTTTGTCAGCCTTGTTGACAAAGTCCGGAAGTGACGAAACGCGTCCGGGGAACGTGACGTAGTGACGTTCCCGGAAGTGCCACGGCGGCCATCTTGGATTCTGGAGCGCTTGGTGGTCTGTATTCCTGGGACTCTCAGTACACTCCTGGCACCCTTCTAGGGCTGAAGTGTCAGTATTGAGAAATATTGTGACAGTATATACCTATAATCAGGAAGCTGTTTGATACCACAATATGGCTGTATATACATTGTCAGGACCAGGAAGCTGTTTTTATCAGTTTACAATGTAAGTGGCTACAATAAAATTTGTATGTTATTTGATTCACATGCTGATCCCTGGTTTGTTTGTGAGGTCTAAGGGAAGTGTCTGGAGAAGAGGATGTCAATCTGAGGATATTCCATGCCTAAAATTTTGGATTACATGTTGATTTTATTGAATTTAGGGTAATTATGCATTCTTACTATATGGTTTGCAGTGGTGTATATTGAGTATGTTTACACGAGTGCTGTGGCACTATAGTGTTTGCATGCTGCACGTGTGGCACTGTCTTTAAGACCTAAGATAATACACTATGTCTAGATTTTTCTTTTTTTGAGGTATTTGAAAAGCATCTGTGATTCATCTTCACTGTGTACGAGCGGGTACCTATTTGTCAAAATCTGGATGTAATTTGGACAATTTTTCAGTTTTTCACGATTTGGGACATTTATTTGGACTTTGGGTGTATTTTAAGTCGGTTGATATATATTGGTACTTCAGGGGAAGGATTGTGATACGACTTTTACGGGCATTATATTTTTTGTGTGCTGACTTATAGTTATTGTATACATACACACACCCTATATATACGGACTTCTAAACAGTGAAGGTGGTAAAAGGTGACAACACATAAAACTCCACATACCCAAAGCTGTTGGGTTCTTCCACAATCTTCATCTTGGCTGCAGCTGCATTGTGGGCTACAATACAAGAGAGAAGTCATTACAATTATTAGAAGCAAGTCATCTCTAGTCTTGTAGAACTTCCCCAGCAACCATTTACTACCACTGACTGGAAACCCCTGTGTGCAGGGAAAAGCTAGAGGGCACTTCCCTTCCTAGGTAAATACCCTGTGTATGTACTAAGAGGACACAAGCAGTGCATGCAGATCTGCAGAGGAGTCTGGGCAGGCTGGGGTGATAAAGGTTCTCACAGGACCCAGAAGAGGTTCAGCATTGGAGGAGAAGAAACACAACACACTGACCTAACAGCAGCAAGACACCCAGCCAGCCCCTCCATGCTGGAGTCACATGACCCCACCACTCTGCAGTCATATGACTCCTCCACCACCCGGAAGCACAGCCCTACAGGAAGCTGGAGACAGGACCTCAATTTTCTGTGTCTAGTCACATTGTGCATTGTAAGTGACGTGGGAGGGCAAACAAATGTCTACTTTCGTAACATAACTATATTGAAAAAAATTGTCTGTGCATGCATATGTGCTACATTATATGTAATAGCGACAAAACTGTCATTGGAATAGGTTGTGACCAGATGCCGAAGACCACAGAGGGATTAATGCGTTCAAGAATAACAGGGAAGGCGGGGAGATAAACCTAAAGGTTGTTTTGGAAGAGAACACACGTGAGCTGCTGAGAGGTAAGAGAGACAGTACATGTATCTCTCTCTATAGACATATATACTGATCAGCCATAACATTATGGCCACTGGCAGGTTAAGTGGATAACATGGATTATTTCATTACAATGGCATCTGAAAGTTGGTGGGAGATATTAGGCAGCAAGTGAACATGTTGTCCCTGAAGTTGATGTGTTGAAAGCAGAAAAATGGGCATCACAGTTTGTTGTGTATGGGGGTACGTAGACACAGATCATTCAGGGGGGCCATGCCTGGTCCCTGTCCATAGCCCAAAGCACCTGGAATGGCATGTGAGCATCAGAACTGGACCACAGAGCAACTGGAGAAGGTGGCCTGGCCTGTTTGATGAATCACATTCTCTGACATCACATGGATGGCCGGGTGTGTGTGTGTATCTCTTTTCTTCAGGAGGAGATGGCATCAGGATGTAGTATGGGAAGAGGGCAAGCTGGCGGAGGCAGTGTGCGTGGAGGAAGTGTGAGGAAGTGTGGTAGAGGCAGTGTGATGCGTGGAGGAAGTGTGGAGGCAGTGTGATGCGTGGAGCAGAAGTGTTGGAGGCAGTGCAATGCGTGGAGCGGAGGCAGTGTGATGCATGGAAGCGGAAGCAGTGTGTGCGTGCGCGGAGGCAGTGTGATGCGTGGAGGCGGAGGCAGTGTGTTGCGTGGAGGCGGAGGCAGTGTGTTGCGTGGAGGCGGAGGCAGTGTGCTGCGTGGAGGCGGTGGCAGTGTGCTGCATGGTGGCGGAGGGCAGTGTGTTTCGTGGAGGAAGTGTGCTGAGGTGGAGGCAGTGCGATGCATGGAAGCGGAGGCAGTGTGCTGCGTGTTTCGTGGAGGAAGTTTGTAGGTGGAGGCAGTGTGTTGCGTGGAGGCGGAGGCAGTGTGCGTGATGCGTGGAGGCGGAGGCAGTGTGATGCGTGGAGGCGGTGTAGGCGGAGGCAGTGCTGGAGGGCAGTGTGATGCGATGTGCGGAGGCAGTGTGTTGTGTCGTGGCGGAGGCAGTGTGTTGCATAGAGGTAGAGGCATTGTGATGCTTTGGGCAATGGATACCTTGGATCTTAACATTCGTGTTGATGTTACTTGACACATCATGATCTAGCCTATCTAATCTGGGCGTGCAGTAAAAAAAAAGTCAGGGGGCATAATGTCAACCCTCTGTGTGAGTCACTGACAGTCTGTCACACACAGTGTCAATTCCTGGGAAACCCAGAAGGCTTCACTGCCAGTTTCCCTACGTAATGCTTTGTTCACAACATATATGCAGACAAACTCATGGAAACTGATGTGCAGATTCCTCATTTGTGGAGACATCAGTTTTCATGCACGCTTAATGACCTTTCACACGCTGCAGATTCCTGCACAGAAAAAATCTGCACATGATACCAGTATTGTGGTATGAACAGAGCACATAGAGAACAATTGATTTCGCTGTGCCCTCTCAGAACACGTGCCAAAACACTGACATCTCTGAACCATGGTGTGACTCCTAAGATGTCAGCGCCTGCACCTGAAGTCGATTGAAGAATCGGCTCAGAGGAGGACATCTCTGGATCCCTGGACAGGTAAGTATCCTTATTTGTAGCTGCTGACTTTTTTGAGGGGAGACTGGAGCTCTGCTGTAACGATGTGCTACTGATGGCTTGGTGAAAGATACCACAGCATACCTTCAGAGGTCTAGTGGAGTCCATGCCGCGATGGGTCAGGGCTGTCTCCGATTGTCCATAGGTTAGGGTAGAGACATATAGCATGTCATAATCCAACCACTCACAGGGTAGGGCTTTGCATTGATACTTTTCATCTGGATTTGAACTTCATCAGGGTGCTACTGTTATGTGTTTTTATTGTTGTGTGTGCCCCCATCAGAGAGACTCCTTGGCTCAGTCACTGCTGTCCCTGGGACAAAAAAAAGGGAAACCCTGCCCTTAAATTGGAACAGAGATCAGCTTATAACCCTGCCAAGGGCCCTAACCCTTCCCTGTTCAATCTAGAACTAGAAATGGAATGCTTTGGCTGGAGTTTGGTAACAGAACCCTAATGTGGGAATTCCATCAGATTGGAGTAGACTGATTGGTATGACAACCTCCAGCTCTATTTGAGGTATAGTTTATTTTTTGACTTTTATATTTCAGTAACACATCACGATGGGAAAGAAGAAACCTCAGAAAGAGGGCAGACCAAAACAGAAAGAATCCCGATTTAAGAGGCCCTCTAAAAATCTAGAGACCTTTGCCAATGAAGTCCATGAAGCTTTAGATGGTAATGTCTGTATTGATCTATGTGATGCTGATGAACATGCTTCATATTCTGTGTAATGTGCAGATACATTCCGTTCAATAACCATGAACTCCATTAAGGCTAGGTTCACATTTGTGTGGGGGCCAGGAACGCTCACAAAATCGAGCACATTCCCGACCTGCAGGCAAAACGTGCAGCTCTTTAGCAGACATACAGGAGAGCCATTAATTCTTAATGGCACCCCACACATTGGCAAACACAGTCACCATGCTACCTAAAACAAAAAAAAAAGAGCCAAGGACTTCTTTCCCTGTGTTTTTTGCAGCTCATTGAAATGAATGGCCTATCTACATGCAGAACACAGGTCACACAAGTGTGAACCTAGCCTTGGTGCCCAGTCCTGGAACTAGTGGTTTACTTACTGTACGTTTCCTGCTTATGATTCACTGACGTGCGGTTTCAAAGTCCTTATTTAACCACTTCAAGTCCAGACACTTTCACCCCCTACCTGTCCAGGCCAATTTTCAGCTTTTAGTGTTATCACACTTTGACATTTGCGCGGTCATGCAACACTGTACCCATATGAATTTTTTAGAGACAGATAAAACTTTATTTTGGTGGTATTTATTCACCACTGGGATTTTTCTTTTTTTGCTATATAAATGGAAAACTCCAAAAATTTTGAAAAAAAATTAATCTTTCTTCATAAATCTTGGCCAAAATATATTCAGCTATCTTTTTATTAAAAAAATAACCCATATTAGTTTATAACCAAAAATTATAATTTTTCAAAATTTTTTTTACATTTTTATTTTATTTTTTTTTATATTAATATTTATTTATTTTTAACATACCATCACCCTAGCAGTGTCACCATAGTGTGGGTGTGATGAAGATTTTTTTTTTCTTTTTTTTTACACCCATAAAGGCTGTAAAAGCAATCATTTATCCTTCTCTCTGGCTGCATTCTTGCAGCCATTGAGAAATACTGTGAAAGCTGTGATTGGTCACAGCTTATCACATGGTACAAAGCAATAGCTACAAATAGTGTGTGAATAGCCTTGTACCATGTGACCTCTGTGATCATTCACAGATTTCAGAAGTAGTAAGCAATGATGTCAGGAAGTGACATCTTGTTTACTACTATTCATGTGATCACTGATTGGGACCTCACACAGAGGTCCCGTACAGTGGTCGGTGTTCTGCTGTGTCCCCCAGACACAGCGGGCACCGGATCATGGTGCCGCGCACTCCCAGGCAGGGAATGTGGGTGCCGAGTAAACGGAAACCCGCTTTGGCACTGCTCCCGTCCAGCCTTTTATGTAACATGGGCCGGACAGAAAGTGGTTAAAGGGCATTTCTGGATGCTGCAATCTTTTCTTTTTTTTTTTTTTTTTTTCAAAAAATTTAAAGAAAAAATTATGCTACCAGGTTTGTGTCTTTGAATATGTAAATAAGGGTAGAGAGCTCACCACAAAATACAAAATCAAAAATACTCTGCACGTAAAAAAAATCTTTTTTTTTCTTTTTTTACCTTTCTGGGTGCCAGAGAGTTGTAAAGTCTATATACTTAAAGTATATATACAAAACAATCACGGACATGCCACATAAGCTTTACCATGTTATTTTTATTTAAAAGTCATTTTTGATATTTTTTATCGCTGCAGTTTTCATTAAAATAATACCCGACTGATCCTGCGATGAAGGTCACTGTTCAGACAGTTCCTGTTATGGGATTACATGGCTCTGTCCCCATCTCACAGTAGTTCTCCTGGTTTCTTACACAGTAATGAGTAGCCGTTTCAATACACATTACACAGTTGTGCCCCACTCTTGTCACCTTCAGGGAACCAACCTAGGAAATGCCATGCAGCAATTGCTGGGGTAGACAGGAATATAGGAAGTGGCTGCAAAAGAGGCTGCAAAATATCAGAAGCACTGAGATACAACAAATAATGAGAGAGAAGTGAAAATCTATTTTATTATAAAAAAACAATTCAACTGTTTGTATAATAGACAGTGCTTTACTGAATATAATGTCATTTAGTTAGGGTTTCTATCTGCTGTTGTCAGGAATGGACTCAGCACTGGTGGTGGGACTCACCTGCCGTGTGGGCTGCAGTACCAGGGCTGACCAGCGGGTGCTCTCAGCAGCCAGAAGCTCACTCCTGTAGTCAGCCAACACCTGGGGCTGATTGCAGGAGGTGTATTTAAGGAATGACCAGGCCTGTGATCAGGGCCTTGGTGTATGTTTCCCATGAGCCCCCTGTACCGTGTATCCTGTGTTCCTGTTCTGCTGACTATCTGGTTTGTTGCCAACGCTGCCTGATCCTGACCTCTGCTGACTTCTCCTGCTTGATCCCTGGCTTGCGTGACCATCCTTCTGCCTGATCCTCTGTACCGCACTGCCCGTGAGTTACTGAACCCGGCTTGAGACCCTGACTATTCTCTGCCTGCTCCTTCGGTACCTCGCTGCCCGCATGTTGCTGACCTGGTCTGCCTGACTACGCCTTACGCTACCCAGACGATCCATCCATCCTGCACGGATCCAGCCATCCCTGCTCACACCTTCTGCCTCTTCACATCAGGCTTCCTACCTGCATATACCTCTGGCTGATCCCTCTACATACGAGCAGGTGTACTCAGGGGCCGCGACCTGGTTCCTGTCTGCTCCAAGTCCATCCCCACTATCAGGGGCCCTGGTGAATAAGCAGCCTGGGACTTAGACTCCGTGCCCTGGGGAATCCTGTCCTGAGGACTGCTAGGGGTACCACCAGACGGTTGTTAACAGAACCATATGGCCGGCATGACCCTTCCACCTCTCCAGCCCTGACTGCGCCTGTGTTTTTCTGCACATACTAAGATTAGTGGAAGGTTGGTTTATTTACTGTGCGTTGTATATTTGGGTAGCTAATAATAAATTATATTATTATATCATTCCTGAAGCCTGTTACTTCCCTGTGTCAGTCCACACATTTCTGGTCATACCTGGATCCCTGACAGCTGTAGAAGAACCAGGATATGAATATGTGGCTATCTACTACCCTCACCCATCCTCCATCTGGAATTTAATACCAAATTTTGAAACTTCAAGGGTGCACTCACTCTAACAGTTTTAAACCATGCCCTGGCATGGTTCACCTCCTTGGTCTGGTTCGTTTGTGCAGCCCAAGTGCTTCGAATCGTGTCCAGGAACAGTTAAGGTACCATCCTCCACACCACCTGGAAGAGGTAGGCCCATCTCATTTGTAGCTCTGAGGTAGAGGGTTTCTCTTGAAAAGTGTCAGCCTTTCTTTTCCCTTGGATGGCACTTCTTTTATGTTGGGACCCTTGGTGCCATATGGAGCATATTTCCAGTAATTGTCATTTATATGCGATTTTTCACTTCTTGTTTGTGAGTATATTTGAACTTTCATTCAATAAACTGTTATCTAGGATAATGCGCTAGGCTAGTGTGCTCTTGTTCCATTTTTTCCTGCCGTTTAATTTGTGGCCCACAACGGTTTGCTTCATTGTGAGTGTGAACTGTACCTGAGCACAAAAACAAGGATCGCTGTGGTCTGGTGAGCGAAGGTGATGATGAAAGTGTGTCCAGGAACACTGTCTTCTAGTCCAGTGTGAGTGCAGGGTAATGGAAAGTGGGCAAGGGGGACAGTCAACCTGGAGCACAGTTCAGTTCAGCCGTGCCTGGTGTGAGTGCCCCCTGTTCTGTATAGATGCCTTTTTGTACACTTCTCTTTTCATACTGTGCCTGTAATGATTCACCTGCATTTTCCCTCTATGGTGTGCGCAAATGCTGCAAAGGGCTGGACTTATCCTAGCAGCCAGAAAACCATGCACCTTTTTGCTGCTAATGGAAATACGCACTGTCTGATGCCACAGCGTGGTATAAGTATACACTCAGTGTATATAAATCTAAAAAAAATATATTGCAGCTTACCAGTGCTTAGGTGTGGTGCCTGTCTATGTTTTCTTAGTGCATTTTTTTTCCTTTTATTTTTATATGGTGATCCTGCCAGTAACACCCTTCCAGTCCTAGGATGACAATGCTCCCTCACTGTACTGTACCTATGGATGTACAGTGTTATCCCCTTATGTTGCTCTCCTTATAGAATTACAAACACCTCCCCCTCTTCTAACCTCCATTACATAGGAAGGAGGTGTTTTGCAGTTCACAGAGATAACTGGGAAAGCTAATAACATTGTTCAACATTTGAGGTCAATGCACAGCAAGTTACAAGAACACAGGCATTCTTGAAGGAGTTGCAGGTATAAAGTACTTAGTTTAACCTCTTTGCGCCGGCCAAACTCAAATGTGCTGCCTCCCGGCGCGCCTGGGCCTAGACGCCGAGCGGCCACACATTTGCGTTCTATTAAAAAAAAAAAAAAAAAAATGTTGAGTGTCGAGCGCGCTCCTAGCATACATATCCAGTACTCACGGAAAGGTCCCGATCTCCTCTTTCGATGGAGACCTTTCCCGATCATGTGACCGGCGTGTCACGGCGGTCACATGACCCTAAACCCTGCCCCGCCTCCCGGCTTCTGAAACCCTTAAAGGGCCGGGAGGCGCCGTCACCAGGGGGGTTAGAATACAGTCGCAGCATCTAAGGACTGGTAAGCTGCAGTAAATAAAATTTATTCTTTTGGCTTTAGATATCCTATCCTTTACAGCCAAGGAAGCTGCTATCTTAGCCACTGTTTGATCTATAGTTGCTATGGTGCTGCACATGTGATCAGCAGCGGTGAGCTCAGGTGGGTTCCTACATGAGTCTGAATCCTCTTGAGCTATGCCTCCAGGAAGTTTTCAAAGCGGACAATCAATCATAGGCCATGGACATTGCCTTGTATATGGGTGAAGTGGAGCATGTCCCTCCGCCTGTGATTGGCTGTCTGCTTTGACAGCTTCCTGACAGGATAGTAAAATAACATATAAGTAAAAACAGCACCAAAAAAACTTAAATTATATTATTTTGTTATATACAAGCTGCTAAACCTCACCCTCTAACAGATGTAACAGTGAAAATCAGAAAAAAGGTAGCGCTTACTAAATCAACTCAATTTAGTGATATAACAAATAAATAAAATAAAACCTTATTTATGATGGTGAGACAACAAATAAATACAAAATTATGAAAAAATATTATGAATAAAACAAAATATTTATATTATATATTTTTTTCATAATTATTTTGTATTTATTTGTTGTATCATCATCATAAATAAGGTTTTATTTTATTTATTTGTTATATCACTAAATTGAGTTGAATTCGTAAGCGCTACCTTTTTTTCTGATTTTCCTGACAGGATAGCTTAGGGGGGTTCAGACTCGTGTCCAAACATGCCTGAGCTCACCCCTAGTGATCAGTTATACAACCCTTATTCCGAAAAAAGTTGGGACACTGTGTTTAAAATCTACATAAAAACAAAATGCAACGAATTGTGAATCTCATAAACTCATATTTTATTCACATTAGAAAATAGAAAACATATCAAATGTGTAAACTGAGAAAATAGAAAACAAGGTAATTTTGAAATCAATCGTAGCAACAGGTCTCAAAAAAAGTTTGGACAGGCCAACAAAAAGCTGGCAAAGTACAACCCCAATTCCCAAAAGGTTTGGACAGGGCCATGTTTCCCACAGTATAGCACCCCCTATTCTTTTAACAACACTTTGTAAACATCTGGGAACTGAGGAGACCAGTTCCTGGAGTTTTGGGAGAGGAATTCCATATACATTAATGCACCCCATGTCATCTGATATGGAGACTTTTGAAATGAGGGTTGATAACAACTCGGAAAGTCCCTCTCCTCTTTAGTCCAGAAGACTTGGCGCCCATGGTTGCCAAAAAGATTGTCAAATTTCGATTTGTCTGACCACAGAACAGTTTTCCACCTTGCAGCAGATCATTTTAAATGAGCTTTGGCCCAGAAATGGCAGCAGCGTTTTTAGATCATGTTCAGATATGGCTTCTGCTTTGCATGATAGAGCTTTAATTGCATTTTTGGGTGGCACAGCAAACTGTGTTTACAGACGGTGATTTTTGGAAGTACTGTAGTCTTGCAGTGATGTCCATCACAGAATCATGCCTGATTTAAATGTAGTGCCGCCTGAGGACCTGAAGATCACGTTCATCCAGTGTTGTGTTTTTTGGCCTAGTGCCTTGCACACAAAAGTTTCAGAGAACCTGGAAAAAAAATCTCTGATATTATATACTGTAGACGATGATATATGTAAATTCTTTGCAATTTTATGTATATTTTTTTGCCATTTTATGTTATGTTGTTAATTAATGTTTAGGAACATTATTCTAAAAATTGGTCAACAATTTTTAGGCAGAGCTTTTCACAGATTGGTGAACCTCTGCCCAACTTTACTTCTGAGATACTGACTCTCTAAGATCCTCTTTTTATACCCAATTATGTTACTGACCTGTTGCCAGTTAACCCAATTAGTTGCCAAATTTTCTTCCAGCCCTTTCTTGTTCGTACCACTTACTTTGCAGCTTTTTCTTGCCCTGTCCCAACTTTTTTGTCAAAATTAAATTCATTTTTTTAAATGGTACCATTTTTCTGTTTAAACATTTGATATGTTTTCTATTTTCTATTGAGAATAAAATACAGTGGATATAAAAAGTCTACACACCCCTGTTAAACTGTCAGGTTTCTGAGCTGTAAAAAATGAGACAAAGATAAATCATTTCAGAACTTTTTCCACTTTTAATCTAACCTATAAACTGTGCAACTCAGTTGAACAACAACCTTAAATCTTTTAGATAAAGGGAAGTAAAAATAAAAAACTAAAATAATATGGCTGCACACCCTTAAACTAATACTTTGTTGAAGCACCTTGTGGGTATGAATCTATCAGCATGGCACATCTTGACTTGGCAATATTTGCCTACTCTTCCTAGCAAAAACACTCCAAATCTGTCAAATTGCAAGGGCATCTCCTGTGCACAGCCCTCTTCAGATCACCCCACAGATTTTCAATCGGATTCAGGTCTAGGCTCTGCTTGGGCCATTCCAAAACTTGAATCTTCTTCTGGTGAAGCCATTCCTTTTTTATTTGGATGTATGCTTTGGGTCGTTGTCATGCTGGAAGATTAAGTTCCTCTTCATGTTCAGCTTTCTAGCAGAAGCCTGAAGGTTTTGTACCAATATTGACTGGTATTTGGAACTGTTCATAATTTTTTCTACCTTAGCTAAGGACCCAGTTCCAGCTGTAGAAAAACAGCCTCAAAACATGATGCTGCAACCACCATGCTTCACTGTGGGTATAGTGTTCTTTTGATGATGTGCAGTGCCGTTTTTTTGCACCAAACATATCTTTTGGAATTATGGCCAAAAAGTTCAACCTTGGTTTCATCATACCATAACACATTTTCCCACATTCTTTTGGGAGACTTCAGATGTGTTTTTGCCGGGCTTGGATGTTTTTCTTCGTAAGAAAAGGCTTCCGTCTTGCCACTCTACCCCATAGCCCAGATATATGAAGAATACGGGAGATTGTTGTCACACAGCCAGTACTTGCCAGATATTCCTGCAGCTCCTTTAATGTTGCTCTAGGCCTCTTGGCAGCCTCCCAGACCAGTTTTCTCCTCGCCTTTTCATCAATTTTGGAGGGACGTCCAGTTCTTGGTAATGTCACAGTTATACCATATTTTCTGCACTTGATGATGACTGTCTTCACTGTGTTCCATGGTATATCTAATGCCTTGGACATTCTCTTATACCTTTCTCCTGACTGATACCTTTTAACAATGAGATCCCTCAGATGCTTTGGAAGCTCTCTGCAGACCATGGCTTTTGCTGTAGGATGTGACTAAGAAAATGTCAGTAAAGACCTACTAGAACAGCTGAACTTTATTTGGGGTTAATCAGAGGCACTTTAAATGATGGCAGGTGTGTACTGACTCCATTTTAACATGATTTTAAATGTGATTGCTTAATTCTGAACTCAGCAAATTCTCAGTTATAAGTGGGTGTGCACACTTATGCAACCACATTATTTTTGTTTTTTATGTTTACCCCCCCCCCCCCCCCCTAAAAGATTTCAGTTTGTTTTTCAACTGAGTTGTACAGTTTATAGGTCACATTAAAGGTGGAAAAAATCCTGCAATGATTTATCTTTGTCTCATTTTTTTACATCACAGTAACCTGACATTTTAACAGGGGTGTGTAGACTTTTTATATCCACTGTATGTGTTTCAGATTTGCAAATATTTGCATTCTGTTTTTATGTAGATTTCAAACAGCATCCCAACTTTTTCAGAATTGAGGTTGTAACACCAGTTCAGTTGAGAAGCATCATGAAGGCCAGGGAACACACCAGACAGGTCATGGATAAAGTTGTGAAGTTGAAAGCAGAATTGGGTTATAAAAAAATAGCCCAAGCTTTGAACATCTCACGGAGCACTGTTCAATCCATCACCCAGAAATGGGAAGAGTATGGCACAACTGCAAACCTACCAAGACATCTCCATCCACCTAAAGTGACAGGCTGGGCAAGGAGAGCATAAATCAGAGAAGCAGCCAGAAGGCCCGTGATAAATCTGGAGGAGCTGCAGAGATCCACAGCTCAGGTGGGAGAATTGCACTCCACAAATCTGGCTTTTATGAAAGAGTGGCAAGAAGAAAGCCATTGTTGAAAGAAAGCTATATGAAGTCTTGTTTGCAGTTCGCGAGAAGCCAAGTGGGTAACACAGCAAACATGTGGAAGAAGGTGCTCTGGTCAGATGAGACCAAAATTGAACTTTCTGGCCTAAAAGCAAAACGCTATGTGTGTCAGAAAACTAACACTGCACATCACCCTGAACACACCATCCCCACTGTGAAACATGATGGTGGCAGCATCATGTTGTGGGGATGTTTTTCTTCAGCAGGGACAGGGAAGCTGGTCAGAGTTGATGGGAAGATAGATGGAGTCAAATACAGGGCAATCTTAGAAGAAAATCTGTTACAGTCTGCAAAAGACTTGAGACTGGGGCAGAGGTTCACCTTCCAGCAGGACAACGACCCTAAACATGCAGCCAAAGCTACAATGAAATGGTCTAGATCAAAGCATATTCATGTGTTAGAATGGCACAGTCAAAGTCCAGACCTAAATCCAATTGAGAGTCTGCGGCAAGATTTCAAAATTACTGCTTACAGATGTTCTCCATCCAATCTGACAGATCCTAAGCTATTTTGCAAAGAAGAATGGGCAGAAATGTCACTCTCTAGATGTGCAAAGCTGGTAGAGACATCCCCAAAAAGACTTGCAGCTGGGGTCCTACAAAGTGTTGACTCAGGGAGGCTGAATACAAACGCACGCCACACTATTCGCATATTTATTTGAACTTTTTGAAAGCCATTTCTCATTTTCCTTTCACTTCACAATTATGTGCCACTTTGTGTTGGTCTATCATGTTTTTGGTTGTAGCATGACAAAATGTGTAAAGGAGTCTAAATACTTTATCAAGGCACTGTATAGTCCAATACCTAGCTAGGGTGATAGAAAACATTGTATTTACATGCACCCTTGATGTTGCATCTTTTAGAAGCAATTGTTTACATTTTATTTCTATTTTTTCATTTGTCTTGAAAGCCAGTATCCAGGGAGACACTGCAGAAGATGATGGAGAGACAAAGGTGAAGTTTCCCTGTCCGTTGGCAATGTGGGACTTAGGACATTGTGACCCAAAGAGATGTACAGGCCGGAAACTGGTGCGGAAACGTCTTGTCAAGAACCTCCGAATAAACCAAAGGTTCAATGGCATCATTCTGAGCCCTATGGGGACAGTGTATGTCTCTCCTGCTGACAAGTATGTGTGACTTTCAATTTTTGTCAGAAATGTCTTATTTTTTTTCCAATTAATATTATCTTTATTTTAAGTATGAATTGAACTTTACATAGCAGCTGTCTGGATTCTCAAACTTGACTTTGCAGTGATGTACTTGGTGCCCCCTAGACTAGTAGTTGTGGGGATTGCCTGCAATGTGACCTTGGGCACTGGGTTCTGCTTGTGGCACTTTCCAGAACTTATTGCTCTGGTCAAAGTTAGCTGTGAAGTGCTTTCTAGACCCAAAGCTGTGGCATTGCCACAGTGCTTGCCCCATCTGAAGTCTCACTTTGTGAATAGGACATTCGGGCTAAGCACCTGAAGCTACTTTATTTTTAATATCGGCAAGCGCCTTTAAATTTTATGCTTTCCCATGTTTTTTGCTGCAAAAGGAGTTAACTCTGAGACAGATTATCAGATCTCCATGCAGCCTTTACTGAGCAGTCTTTGTGGCAGAAAATTTTCAGGGGTTCTGCTTCAACCTGTTCACAGTCCCTAAACCAAAAGGGGAATTTGTTTTTTATTTAGGTCCAAATATTCTGCATGTAATCTACCAGGTGTGTCAGAGCTTCCCTTAATCAGAAGTGGGGATCACTGAATATGGACTTTCTGGCCTCCAGGTTCAACAAAAAACTGGACAGTTTTGTCTCCAGGTATAGTGATCCTCTAGTTGAAGCTCTGGTGCTTTCGTGGGATCATTACACATTGATGCATGCCTTTCCTCCCGTGAAACCTCTTGATTGAGATGGAGGGCATTCTGGTGATGCTCATGGCTCCATCCTAACAACTCCCGATTGTCACTATGTGCCCGTGAGCTTTTGACAACTGCTTAGTCATAGTTCTTGGGGCACCCTTGGAGCATGCCCTAGAACTGCACAACAAAGCATTTTTACGGTGGCTAGACATTAAGACCCACCTACCCTTCTGCCCCATATATATGTACAGTGGCAGTAAACGGGTTAAGACCATGCTTTTGGTACTGCTTTGCAACAAAATGAAGGCATGCAGGGAGTAGGAGGGGTTATTTCTGACTACAGTTTTTTTTGTTTTGTTTTTTTAACCAGTGTCCAGACATTCTGTAGGTGACCGTAAAACCTGACATTTCGAGACTCCCTGTGTCCCTCAATGGACTCCAAAAATGGATTTTACAGTGAGTACAAACATTCTATATGTTTGTACATGACTAAGCTATAACAATCATCATTTTTCATAGCCGCAAATAATATAATAATATTATACTTTTATCTGAAAATAACACTTACATGGCTGAAAGTACAGATGCCAGTTGAGCAGGTTGGGCATGCTACACCAATGCTCCTTGGAAGTTTTCACCTAATTTGAAAGATCATCTAGGACAGGCACAGAACACACATTGTATCTTCAAGAGCCTTGGCTACTAATGCGTAACATTTTCCAGCATGATGCAGTTTAGTCTTAAAACTCAAACTTTTTGGTAGCCTTCTGAACAAGGACTGTTTTGCTACAAAAGGTCTATCAGGTCTACAGTAATGGTCATAAATATTGGCACCCCTGCATTTCTGTCAGATAATGCACCACTTTGCCCAGAAAATTGTTGCAATAACAAATATTTAGGCATTCTCATGTTTATTTCTTTTGTTTGTATTGGTTGACACAAAAAAAGTGGAGAAACAAAAAGCCAAATCTGACACATTCCATGCAAAACCCCAAAAATGGACTGGACAAAGTTATTTGCACCTTCTCAAAATTGTAAGAAATATTTGCATTCCATGTTTGTGATGCTATGTTTTTTTTGTAATTAAACTGGCCTGTATCAACTAACAGGTGCTGACAATATAGAAATCACATTGGCAACCAGTTGAAATGGTGAAAAATTGACACAGCCTTTCTGGTGTGTGCCTTTGTGTGCCACATTGAGCATGGAGAAGAGAAAGAACAGCAAAGAATGGTCTGAGGATTGAGAACACAAATTGTGGAAAAACACGGACATTCACAAGGTTACAAGTCCATCTTAATGTTCCTGTGTCCACTGTGTGCAATATTGTCATGAAGTTTACAGCCCATGGCACTGTAGCTAATCTCCCTGGACATGGACGAAAGAGAAAAATTGTTGGAATGGTGGATAAAGAATCAACTTCCAGACAAATTCAAGCTTGCCTTCAGGCACAGGGTACAACTGTGTCAGCTCTCACTATACGTGACCATCTGAATGAAAAGGGACGCTGTGGTAGGAGACCCAGGAGGACCCCACTGCTGACACAAACATACAAATACCAGATTGGAGTTTGCCAAAATTTACCTGAGGAAACCAAAATCTTTTTTGAAGATGTGCTGTGGACGGATGAAACAAAAACGCAGCTTTTTGGTAAAGCCCATCATTCTACTGTTGTCTACAGATATTAGGCTTTTAAAAAAAAGAATACAGTCAAACATGGTGGAGGTTTACTGATGTTTTGGCAGTGCTTTGCTGCTTTAAACACTGGATGTCTTGACCGTGTGCATGGCATTATTAAATCTGAAGACTACCAAAGAATTCTGGGGTGCAATGTAGGGCCCAGTGTCAGAAGGTTGGGTCTCCATCAGAGGTCATGGGTCTTACAGCAGGACAATGACCCAAAAGCACCCAGAAATGGTTTAAGACAAAGCGCTGGAGAGTACTGAACTGGCCAGCAATGAGTCCAGATCTCAATCCCATAGAGCTCCTGTGGAGAGATCTCAGAACAGCAGTTAGGAAAAAAGAACCCTTCCAATCTGAGAGACCTGGAGCAGTTGGAAAAAGAAGAGAGGTCCACAATTCCAGTAGAGAGGTGTAAGAAACTCATTGATAGTTACAGGAAGCCATTGATTTCAGTTATTTTTTTTGCAAGGGGTGTGCTACCAAATATTACATTGAGGGTGCTGATAATTGTGTCCAGTCCATTTTTGGAGGTTTGAGTGAAATGTGTGAGATTTTGTTTTTTTGTTTCTCCACTTTTTTTATACCAATACAAACCAATACCAGTACAAACAAGAGAAAAAAACATGAGAATCCCTAAACATTTGTAATTGCAACAATTTTCTGGGCTACATGGTACATTATCAGACAGAAATGCAGAGATGACTGTATGTTGCTTCAGACCTGGTTTTCATGTTTGATCATCTAGTAATCCCTGCTGGCCTACTTGGGTAGCATTTTAACAAATAGCTGCATTATTTATTAAATTTACAGAATTTGGTCTTATTGTTGAATGTGAAAGTCTAAAGCCAGGAAATGACTGGAAAATCCTTGTAAACATTTTTGTAGATTCGCTTACACATGCTCTTATTTTGCCAACTGGACACTCTTCAGTGATCATACTATTGCTTCAACTGTTCACCCTGAAAATTATCTGCAACTCAACCTATAGTGTTTGAGAATAACAATTGTTTCTTAATCTTCCGTTTTCTTTGAGAATAATGCTTAATATACTGTCATCGTAAATGATCTACCAGTAATGTCACATTCCCCTCCCTTACATTCTGTGTTTTTCCGCAGACAAATTGTTGCAGACTGTGGTGTAGCTGTTATTGACTGCTCCTGGGCTAAGCTGGATGACACACCATTCTCTAAGATGAAAGGAAGCCATCCTCGGTTGTTGCCGTATCTGGTTGCTGCAAATCCGGTGAACTATGGGAGGCCCTGCAAACTGTCTTGTGTGGAAGCTTATGCTGCGACATTCTGTATTGTTGGTAAAGCCTAAAACATTAAAACTGGTGGCTAGATTTTTAGAATCTATTGTCGATGAAAGCAAATGTAGTTCTTATCTAAAAATCACATATAATACAGTCGGCCTAGCACTTTTTATTTTTATTTTTTTTCAGCTACTTATATAGCGCCATCAATTTACGCAGCACTTTTACATATATATTGTACATTCACATCAGTCCCTTACCCTCAAGGGACGTACAATCTAAGGTCCATATCCTACATTCATACATACACATACTAGGTCCAATTTAGACAGGATCCAATTCACCTACCAGCATGTCTTTGGAGTGTGGGAGGAAACCGGAGTACTCGGAAGAAACCCACGCAGGCACAGGGAGAACATGCAAACTCCAGGCAGGTGGTGTCGTGGTTGGAATTTGAACCAACGACCCTAGAACTACCAGGCTGAAGTGCTAACCATTTAGCCACTGTGCTGCCCAGTTGCTCATTTCACTTTTTAATGTAAATGTGGACCCCATGTTAATGGATTACCTTTTAATGGCCTCAATTTCTGTTCTGCAAAGCTGTCTGGCTGTAAAGTGGTAAAAGTGGCAGTGGTTTAGGAAGGGTTGGGCTTGGGGCAGGAAAACATGTTCAACCCACTCACTACATTCACAGTCACACTCGCTACATGGTCTGTAAATGAAATGTTATTGTGAATGAGAGATTGGGATGTCTCAGTGGTAGTATCGTTCTTACATTGGCTTCTGCACACAGTGATCACAGACATTGGGAAGGATTTACCAAAAACTGGAGAGTACAAAATCTTGCACAGCTCTGCATAGAAACCAATCAGCTTTCAAGATTGATTGTCAAAGCTAAATTGAACAAGCTACAGTTAGAAGCTGATTGGCTACCATGCACAGCTGTAACAGACTCTGGTGCTCCAGTTTTCGTAAATCTCCCCCATTGTTCCCTTGCTACCATGCATGGGCTATCAATAGGGAAAACTGCAAGGGATTTTTAAGTACAAAGTCTTGGCATTTACAGGTAATAAATACATTTTAGAACATGGAGTAACTGGGCATAAGAAATAATATCAATGTGTTGGAATTCCAGCGAATCAGCTTTAAATATACCCTTCAGTAGAAAGTGACTGTAGAATTCCGCTTGGTTGATGGGAGTTTGAATCTGATCCAGGCTTATATCATATGGACACCTTGGATATCTTCATCAAAATTTTTGGTCCTGCCCAGCTGTCACAGCAGTTACAAACTCAGATGATGATGTCACACTATTCTGATGTAAGGGAAATTGATACCAGCACACCGAGGATCACCAATATGGGTCCAAAGGTTTTAATGAACGATCACATAGTTGCAGCAAGGCAATGTTTCGGAGTCTCACAGGACCCCTTCATCAGGACCCCGTCACATGCCTGATGAAGGGGTCCTGCGAGACTCTGAAACGTCTTGCTGTAACTATGTGATCATTCTTTAAAACTTTTGGACCCATATTGGTGATCCTCGGTGTGCTGGTGACATTCTCCCTTGCTGATTCTGTTCAGTTCCAGCCGACGGTCGCTACAGCACCCTCTTATACAAACAGCCATTTTTAAAGCAGGAACGTGTGCGTTTGGATTGTACACTTGCACACTGTTCTGATGTATTTCCAAAATGCTGCATAATCAAATAATTTGAACTTAAAAGTTAGACATTGCTGTGCTGTTGCCTATAGACAATAGCAGATAATGCAGGGAAAATGTATAATTGGAAATATAGAGGAACAGATGAGTGTTTCAGCCCTCCATGCTTTTCCAAATCAAAATATCAGTTGACGATGTAGCTGACCTTATAACCTATCTGGATTTAATACTTTGGCTTCTGAATGCCCTAATTTTATGCATATGGTATGAAATAAATATCATGACTGGGTCAGTTTTGAAAAGATTTGATGCAATCGGCAAACCTTCAGACGTATGCGACAAGGCACAGAGCCAAGTGCAGAACCGCAGAGCAACCGATCATCTTAACATCTCCAAACTGATGAAAAATGAAATTCTATTAGTTGCTAAGAAAGACACACCACTTTTCCCTGAGCTTCCTAATCTAATGAGATAAATTGCTTTTATATGAAATTTAGGATTTTTCAATAACATTCCCAAGGTTGATCTTTTCATCATTGTATTATGACATATAACATATGTTGTATGAACATGTCATAACATTAAAGGGTCAATCTACTCTAAATCAATATTTCAGTTATGATCAGATGGTGGGACTTTAAATCTCATCTTTATTTCATACATCTCTAGCAGTGACATTTGGGCTTCCAACTTCTCAGGTTCGCCAATCTGCAGCAATCATAATAATCTTTTCAAAACTGACCCTTTTTGACTTTAATATTTACTTTGTATAGTATGCAGCAGGTGGCATGTGACTTGTTGATGTTGGAATGGTTCTGAGAACTATCCAAGGGATATAGAAAACTACTGTGCAAATAATTTCATCCAGCTCCTGTTATGGGGGTTTCCTAGCCTTCTTCCACCTCACCGTTATATACTAGTAAATGGACACAGAACTAGTTAACATTTCCTGGTCACTCTTTAGTGGGCTTACCAATCCTTATGTCTGGTGCCAGCTCTTTTTTTTTTTTTCCCCTCTGTTTTCACCTGATGATCAGCCAGTAACACAATTCCTATATTAGAGTGCCCACACTCTGGATATAAGAGCACAGGGCGCACATTTGGACAGCAGCATTGTCAGTCTAGAGAGAGGGGCTTATTAGATGTACAAGCAGATTTAGATACACTAACAAATTGAAGCTAAACTCCAGCTAATACTTTATAAGCAGTTTTATGTAAAACCTTTATTTAAAAAGGAAAAAACAAGTTAATAATTGTAAGCACTCCTGGCAGTGGTAAATGGTTTGTCTAATCCCTGTGACTGATACATCTGCAAGAGAGCTTTTTTTTTTTTTTTAAAAAACAACAGACTTACTGGCCGGATCACCAGGGAAGCGGAAAAAAAGCCTGAAAAATAAAAGTAATGCAGCTATCACTTCTAAGAATTGGTAAACTGCAATATAATGTTTGCTTCTGTGTTTAATACTGCTTTAAGCTGTATTCATAAACTCAGGGGCACAGATATGATAAGGGAAGTTGATCCAGATTGATTTACTGGAATCGGAGACGCTACTGATTTGCGTGATGCTTGTAACTATAGAGTAATATTAGAATTACCTGCAGAGTGATTACAGCACCAGCAGGTGTCAACAGGGCTTATTATCTAATACTGAGATTCTCTGTCAGGCTACAAAATGTTTGCAATTGAACATTGCATTGCTTGTTCTTTCATAAGCACAATAGAGGGGACTAGTTTCACCTATTATTCACTAACAAAGAGATATCACAGTAGTTGCACACTGGTGCAATCTCCACCTTGTTGGGCTATCCAGTCAATCCATGGACTTCTGAATTTTTTTTTCTGGATTGTTCATTACATAAGATCCCCACTTGGCTGTTTACATTATATATAGCTCACAGGTCCAGATGAATAAAGAGACATCAGTTGTCAGGAAAATGCTGCCAATAGTTGTCGTGCTGCATGCAGAACAGAGAGCATAAAAGAAACCGGCAGATCGTTTAACAGTATGTTATTAGTGAGGTCTTCTGCTTTTGAGAAGGGTCACCCCTGCACCTAAAGAGTGATTGGGTCTGCCACACCCTGTGCACCAAAGGTTTGTAATTTTTTTGGTTGTTTGTATGAAAAAAATATATATTATGGTAACAAATCCAACAGTGGGCTAATAATGCTATCCAGAAAACAACTGCTAACATTTTAAACACAATTTTATTTAACTTTAAACCTGAATTTTATCAAATCCAGTAGAGACAGATTTATCAGGCTTTTGGCAAGGCCTCTGGATGGCAGCTTCCTGTCACATGATTCTTAAATGCATGACCTTCTATTGCTGCAGTGATGAATGCCAGGATGAGAAATGATCAGCAGCTGTCTTCCCTTACCTGAGTGGTTTTTTTTTTCTCTCTCTTTAGGATTTCCAGATTTGGCCACAATTCTGTTGAGGAAATTTAAATGGGGGAAAGTGTTCCTTGAGCTGAATAAAGATCTGCTGGAGAAGTACAGTAACTGCCAGAATTTGGAGGAAATGAAGAAGGTGGAAGCAGAGTACTTGGCTGGGGCTCAGGACAAAGATGAAGAAGAAATAGGTTTTCAGCTTGGTGTCTTACCAAAGAATGATCTAAAACCTGATCCTTGCAATATAAATATTTTACATGCCAGTGTGTTGCCATTTATTGTCAATGGCAATAGACTATCATGCGTTTGGTCACAAATGGTGCATATCATTTTGTTGGATGTTTGGTGCAGTATTTGCCCATTCATTTGAATAGGCTGCCTTAACACAATGCATAGTATGACAACACCAGGATGCTAAGGCGTGAATGGGCCGTTAAAGTGGACTATGCAAAGGTTTTTTTCTTTTAGGCTTTTTTCTTTTTCTTTTCATTTACATTTAAAACATTTTCTGTCCTACAGTGACAACCCTCACTCACTGAACTGTATCTATGGAGAAGCATTGACACCCTAGAACAGGATTACAGAACACACACCTTTTGTTGTTAGCATTTATTTACACTTAAGGGTAAATGTATATAAAAAAAACAAACCGTGACAAACAGTTGTACAGCCCCAATGAAAATTGTCATATTTCATGATTTTTATGATTTATATGATATGAATATTAATATTTCCTACAATCAAATCTGACATCTAGTGGCCATAATGCATTTTTTTAAATACCTCGTTCAGGAAAACAAATCACATTATAGCCAACAGATGACGCATATGCTAATAGGAAATAACGAAAATACGGTGATTTTCAATGGGGTTTGCGCAGATGTTTGTCACATTTGCACAGCAAAGTTTTTTTATACAGCCGTGAAAAAACGTTTTGAGAATCACATAAATATTAATTTTCACAAAGTCTGATGGCAATTTGCATATACTCCAGAATGTTATGAAGAGTGATCAGATGAATTGCAGTTAATTGCAAAGTCCCTCTTTGCCATGAAAATGACCTTAATCCCCAAAAAAACATTCCACTGCATTTAAGCCCTGCCACAAAAGGGCCAGCTGCCCATCATGTCAGGGATTCTCTCGTTAACACAGGTATCATTGTTGACGAGGACAAGGCTAGAGATCACTCTGTCATGCTGATTGAGTTAGAATAACAGACTGGAAGCTTTAAAAGTAGGATGGTGCTTGAAATCATTGTTCTTCCTCTGTTAACCATAGTTACCTGCAAGGAAACACGTGCAGTCATTATTATTATTATTACTACGAGTTTATATAGCGCCAAAGGGTTTGCTCAGCGCTGTACAATGGGGGGACAATACATGGCACAGTACAACAACAACAAACAACGTACGAGGGATAAGAGGGCCCTATCTCATCATTGCTTTGCACAAAATGAAATTTACAGGGAAGGATATTGCTGCTACTAAGAGTGCACCTAAATCAACCATTTATTGGATCATCAGGAACATCATGGAGAGAGGTTTAATTGTGAAGAAGGCTTCAGGGCCCCAAAGAAAGTCCAGCAAGTGCCAGGACCGTCTCCTAAAGTTCATTCAGCTGGGGGATCGGGGCACCACCAGTGCAGAGCTTGCTAAGGAATGGCAGCAAGCAGGTATGAATGCATCTGCAGGAACAGTGAGGCAAAGACATTTGTAGGATGGCCTGGTTTCAGGAAGGGCAGCAAAGAAGCCACTTCTCTCCACGAAAAACATCAGGGACAGACTGATATTTTGCAAAAGGTACAGGGATTGGACTGCTGAGGACGGGGGGGTAAAGTCTTTTTCTTTGATGAATCCCCTTTCTGATTGTTTGGGACATCCGGAAAAAAACCTTATCCATAGAAGAAAAGATGAGCGCTACCATCAGTCCTGTGTCATGCCAACATGAGAGCATCCAGAGACCATTCATTGCCTAGGAACACAGCCATGAATCATGCTTTGCTGGGTTTTTTTTGTCTCATGCTTTGCTGGGTTTTGTTTTGCCTTCCTCTGGATCAATTATGGGTATAGGATTATAATTTTTTTTTTTTTTTTTTTCTATGGTTGAACTGGATGGACTTTTGTCTTTTTTCAGCCAGACTAACTATGAATAAAGAATGGTACAAAAACATCCTCCGAGAGCAACTTCTCCCAACCATCCAAAAACAGCCTTTTTCAAAAAAATGTATTTTCCAGCAGAAGCACCTTGTCATAAAAAAAAGTGATAACTAAGTGGCTTGAAGGAACAGAACATCGAAATTTTGGGTCCAATGGCCAGGAAACTCCCAAGACCTTAATTCCATTGAGAACTTGTGGTCAATCCTCAAGAGGCGGGGTGAACAAAAACCCACAAATTCTGACAAACTCCAAGCATTGATTATGCAAGAATGCTTGCCATCAGTCAGCATTTGGCCCAGGAGTTGATTGACAGCATGCCAGGGTGAATTGCAGAGGTCTTGAAAAAGAAGGGTCAGCACTGCAAATATTTGACTCTTTGTATAAACCTAATGTAATTGTCAATAAAAGCCTCTGACACTTGTGAAATACTTGTAACTACATCAGTATACCATAGAAACATCTGACAAAAAGATCTAAAAACACTGAAGCAGCAGACTTTGTGAAAATTAATATTTGTGTCATTCTCAAAACTTTTGACCAGGGCTGTAAATAAATCCCTTTATGTTTCTGGGTTTAGATGAAAGGCTAACTTTTAGTTGAAAGTTGAGTGTTGGGGTACAGGCAGAGAAGTATCACTCACCCCAAATGAGTTCTACTTCCCAGCTCAGAATGTGTTCATATGGGCAATGGGTGGCTAGCCTATCATCGGTTGTGGCTGTTAGATTCCTGACTATCCTTGGAGGCATACTTGTTCAGATCGGTCAATCAGATAATATTAAAGCCAGAGACAGCCAGTCAGCTAGCATTTCCAGGAGCCCACATAATGCTGTCATGGTGGGGTCCTTTAACTACATTCTACCATGACTGAACTACGTTTTCCGTCTTATTTTAGCATGTATCACAGTTGCACTCTCCTTAGGTGTTTAGTATGGTAGTACACTTACTATAAAACCTGTAGAGGAAGGAATGAAAGATCACAGAAAGGGGAAGGATTCACAGCTTCTCTGACCTGGCACCTCAGTGAATCTGTCTGAACATTGCATACATGTTCACTTGTACAGCATCATACAGTGGTTGGGGCTTACTGTACATTAGCTTTGTCCGGTCCAACTAAGCCCACTGTGCTGAAAGAACATGTTTGAAGGCTTATTGTATACATGAAGTAATATTTAACCACTTGTCTACCGGGCACTTTTACCCTCCTCCTGCCCAGACCAATTTTCAGCTTTCAGCACTGTCACACTTTGAATGACAATTGCACGGTCATGCAACACTGTACTCATATGAAATTTTTATAATTGTTTTGAGACAAAGCTTTCTTTCGGTGGTATTTAATCACCTCTGGGTTTCTTATTTTTTGCAAAACTAACCAAAAACAACTGAAAATTTTGAAGAAAAAAAAAAGTTTTTTTTTCTTAGTTTCTGTTATAAAATTTTGTGAATGAGTAGTTTTTCTCCTTCACTGATGTGCGCTAATGAGGCTGCAGTGATGGGCACTGATAGGTGGCACTGATGGGCATTGACAGGCATCACTGATGGGCACTGAAAGGCAGCACTCATATATGGCACTGATAGGCATCACTGACTGGCACTGATAGGCGACACTGACTGAAACTGATAGTTGGCACTGAAAGGTGGCTCAGATCGGCACTGATATGTGGCATTGATGTGCACTGACAGGTGGCACTGATGGGGCTACACTGACCATCAGGGCACTGAGCATCAGTGCCCTGATGATCAGTGTAGATGTCCCCTCTGAGGAATGCCGATTACCGGCTCTCCTCTCCTCACGAGCTGTCAGCCTGACAGCTCGTGAGGAGAGGAATGCCGATAATTGGCATTTCCTTATTTACATGCTATCAGCTGTGATTGGACACAGCTGATCACATGACGAAGTCATCGGCGATCCGCTGTGTCCACAGCGCACCACCAATCGACCTCTTCCCTGTCAGTGTTCCTCGTCGATCGCCAGGTGACAGCGGGGAATCTCCGGCTGGGATGATCGACAACTGTAGCTGGAAATGGTGGTGCAGGTAGGGCGTGCGCCTACGTGATTTTGTGCATCGCTGCCGCCCTGTAGCAGTAGTTTTTGCACTCCAGTTTTAGTAAATCAACCCCATTGTCTATCCCAAACTTCAGTCCAGTTCTTCCCTATTGTTTTCTCAAAGGAAAAAATACAGAATGCAGCGGGAGGTGCTTGGTTATAAACGTAAAACAAACCGTAATGGGTAGTGTGTGGGTATTTAGCTTACATTGATGTCCATTCATTACATAATTAGGATTATTGTGTAACGCTTGGAAGAGCACAATGATGTTTCGAGAATAGTAACTCATAGCAGCCTAATAGCAGTCACTATGCAATAATCTAGAGCCGTAATAAAACTGAAAGTGATTGTTCATTTAGTGTTCTGTTCATAGCTGATTGCCTACCCCATGCTAAATATAATTGTAGGTTAGGTTATAATTACCTGAACAGCAGCTCCCCGGAGATCTACACTGTGCATCCGGCGCAGAATTGCCCAACCTCTTTAAAATCTCTTCCTTTATATAAGAACGTATTTGGCCTTTCTTGTAGGCAATAGCAATACTAGTAGGTACTATTATGATGTTTCATACACACCTTTTATTACGATGTCTCTTTTGTCTTTCAGATCCATTTGATGTTGAATCTGGACGAGAATTTTCCAACCTCAACAGAGTCATCTGCTCTGGGAGGTAATGACAGTCCCTTTCTCCTATTGATTTCCCTGCTGTAGCTCCTGTCCCAAACCTCTCCTGCAAGGCTGTACCATAACATTTTGAAACCCAAACCCAAGATCACTTTTTTGTGAAGATGACTTTTATTGTTACAGTGTAATTCAAAATTCATTCAGGACATTGTCATTTTGAAACATTTTGTGAAATGTTCAGGAGAGAACACGCACAATGATCACCTGACACTGCACTATTTTGTTATGAAATTTGAAAAAATTAATAGAAGGTGCTGCAGTGAATGATATTCTGCTGCTTATTGTTAGAAAATGGTAATAAATCTAGTGGTGCACTCCAGGCCAACAGCTTAATCAAGGATACGTGATGTTTCCCTGATTGATGAGAATTCATGGTGACTGAGGGGGAAAGGGGAGAGGGGAGGGGGTGTTGTGAACCGCTGGAGAGACAGCTGCTCACATACAGAGGGCAACCTTCTTATCTTCACTTTGTGGTAGAAATCTCTCCTTGGGAAAATGCAGAAGAGCAATTAAAGAAAAAACATACAACATTTAAAACGCAATGTTTGAAGGCACACTAGTTTGATCAGTTCTTTAGAAATTTACAGTTGGGCTTTAACCGCCTCCCGCCCGCCATATAAGGTAACGACGGGCGCAAGACGGTTCGCTCGTTCTGGGAGGGCGTCATATGACGTCCTCCCACTTTAATTACGCGTGCATGGCTCCGGGAGAGCATGGCCATCAGTGGTGCGCTGTGTCCCTCGGACACAGTGGATCACCGATCAACGGAAAGAGACGATGATGTCGGCTCGGTCATGTGATCAGCTGTGTCCAATCACAGCTGATCGCATGTAAATAGGGAAATGCCGGTTATCGGCATTTCTCTCCTCACGAGCTGTCACACTGACAGCTCGTGAGGAGAGGAGAGCCAGTAATTGGCATTCCTCAGAGGGGAAATATTCACTGATCATCAGGGCACTGATGATCAGTGTGCCCTGATGATCAGTGTAGCCCCAGCAGTGCCACCTGTCAGTGTCCATCAATGCCAGCTGTTAGTGCTCATCAGTGCCACCTGCCAGTGCCCATCTGTGCCACATATCACATATCAGTGCCTACCAGTGCACATCAATGCCGCATATCAGTGCCCATCTGAGCTGCCAGTCAGTGCCACCTATCCGTGCCAGTCAGTGCTTCCTATCCGTGCGCATCAGTGCCGCCTGTCAGTGCCATTTATCAGTGCCATATATGAGTACTGCCTTTCAGTGCCCATCAGTGCCACCTACCAGTCCCTCCTCATCAGTGCCTATCAGTGTCCATCACTGCAGCCTCATTAGCGCACATCAGTGAAGGAGAAAAATCACTTATTTACAAAATTTTAAAACAAAAACTAATAAACTTTTTTTTTTCAAAATTTTCAGTTGTTATTGGTTTAACAAAAAATAAAAACCCAGAGGTGACTAAATACCACCAAAAGAAAGCTCTATCAGTCTCAAAAAAAAAATGATAAAAATTTCATATGAGTACAGTGTTGCATGACTGTGCAATTGTCATTCAAAGTGCGACAGCGCTGAAGGCTGAAAATTGGCCTGGGCAGGAATGGGGTATAAGTGCCCTGTAGGCTAATGATTAAAGCTGAGTTCCAAGAGTTCAGCTACTTTGATAAAAGTGCAGGCATACTATGAATTAAGTCCAACAGGGGCATGCCACTTCCTGGACTTATCTCTAATATTTACATCTGACAGGTTTATTTGTTCTCCAGGAAGATGGCTTCTGGAGCTCTGACGTTAGATGCTTTGGTCTCAGCTACTTCAAGTGTACAGTTCTGGGTCTTCCCTTAGTAATGAGGAACCAGTCAGCGTAGTTTCCAATCATGTGGTTATCATGACATGCAGTCATGGTGATTACATACAACCTGGAGGTTTGTTTACTAGCAGATCACTCCAGCTTTCAAATGCCATTGCAGCATGAAGATGGCAGTGCACCTCTATTTGATATTGTAATTATCAGATACAATTACTTTGTTCAAAAAAAATTGTCCATTTGTAACCCATAATAAAACACCCGAGGAAGGTAATATATAAACCTATGTACCAAATCAAAGCTTTAAAAACCTTCTAAAAATGACTTCGATAGGAAAATTAGTCATAGAGTTAATCAACGCATACTTTGACTGCTATATTTGTTCTGGACATCTACACACCAATGCCCCTGGTTATTAAAGGTCAAAGTGGCAGAATCCTTGCCTGTAGAAATCTCCAGATTTTAGTGCTTTACATTTAGCTGTTTGAATCCAGCCAGTGCATTGTCTAGGACTGTAGACCACAATTGTTTTCTGCCCATAGGATGAGGAATGATGAGGCGGAGGAGACAGATGAGGAAGATGACAGTGATGCAGATTCTCATTCTGATGGGGAAATTGAAGGTGATGAAATAGAAGAAGCGGCAGCTAGTAAGCCTGTTGTTTGGAAAGGAGTGAAAAAGAGACTGAGAGACTAAACAATGAGAATGCTGTAACAATATGAGTGCAAAGGTTACAGTGACGATGAGCCTCTTTTCTCTAAAAAGCTTGTATTTATGTATAGTTTTTGCTACTTCCTGTATAAAAAAATTAAATATATTGGAAAGTTTAGATGGGATTTGTTGTAATTTATTTTTTTACCAAGTGTGCATAGATGTTCAGTGACTGAAAATTGAAACAACATTTTGGTATTTGTAAAAAAAATAAGCAAACTACAAAACAAGTCTGCTTACTGTGATGTTTTTCTAAATTATGTGACATGTATAATTCGAAGGGTATGCCTTCATTACCGGACGGTAAAATTAGAGGATTGCAGACTGAGCATCCATTCCCATTTTCTGCAGACACTTTGGAGATGGCAATGCCCTGATTGGATATTTCAAAGCAGAGTCGGTTATCTGTGGAAGTGCATGGCAAACCACCCGATAAAGGGGCCTTTGTCAAAGAGCTTTGAGCTTCTTTGGATGGGAAAATCCAGCATGCTATCAGGTTCGTTTTTGGCTCCATGTACACTGCAGCTGATAAACTTACGTTTAGGAGCTTTTCTGCATTTTTTTTTCAGCAGCCCCTGAACTCTCCCTAATGTTTCCTATGTGTCCATGTACACTATGTCGTTTACATTAGTTTACAGGCAGTTGAGTTTACAGTCGTTTTTTTTTTTAACGCACCAAACTTGCATTCAGGAGTAGATTTTATCGGCTAACCGCGTTTATAAGTGTTTGCGTTTGGAAATTTTTTTTACTCTTCCATTTCCAGATGCTGTCCAGAGCCTTTTTTCATCATGAAAAATGCATGCAACGCGTTTTCCCGGTACTCATGGTAAGAGAAGAGAGAAACCGGCGGGGATTTGAAATTCCCGCTACTTTCTTTCCTTTCCTTGCGGGGATTACAGTTTTGGGCTAGAGGACTTTTGATTGGTCAGCAGCACCATCACATGGACAGTGCTGACCAATCGGATGCCATTTATCCTGAACTGTCTTCGCTGCAAGAAGAGAGAAAGCTGCTTTACAGGTCTGGGGATTTGAAATCCCCACAGCTTTCTTTCTTCTCATTGCAGCGACGACTGTACAGGCTGGACAGCTTCTGATTGGTCAGCACCGTCCATGTGACTGTGCTGACCAATCAACAGATCTCTTGCCCGAACTCTCATCCCTGCAAGGAGAGGAAAGAAAGCAGCAGGGATTTCAAATCCCCACTGCTTTCTCTCTTCTCTTACCACTGAGACTAAGCATGGGATGCCTGCAGGGAGGTTTCCTGTGCCGCTCCTGTGTGAACTCTGGCTATGACAAGCCTGGGTTCACACAAGAGCTGTGGGGAAAAACGCATGCGATTTGGACAGGAATCGTATTCCTTTTCAAATTGCATGCTAGTCTTTGCCATGCAATTTGCGTCCATTAACGCAAATCGCACCGTAAAGTATGTTAAGGTACCAGGAGTATTTTCACGAGTATCGACATCGGTGCATCCCTAGTGCAATGCCACACTTGAAAGGTCTATTTTGCTTAGTGTGAGGTTCAAATGTTTCATCCTCAAAGGTATGTTGTGAGATACATTTTTATCTTTCTCCAGCCTGGTCTGGACTTGTTCATGGCCTTGAGTACTATCAAGGGTCAGATTTCGGCTTTGCCCATTCTTACTTAGACACCTATTGCATCTCATTCCTTTGTAAAAGCCTTTGCTCTGCCTGACTGGTCTCTAGTGTCCAGTTTGGTTTTGTCTTTTGCATAGAATACTTTGAACCTATTCAGATTTTTCCTTTGGCATGTCTTATGGGCAAGGTGGTTTTTTGGTGGCCATTACTTGTAGGGTCTTGGAGCCGTCTGCACTCTCTGATAAAGAACCTTTTCTGGTCCTTACCAATATAAAGTAGTGTTGAAGCACTGGCCTTATTTTTTGCCTAAGGTGGTGTCTTCTTTCAACCTGAACCAGAACATTGTGTTCTATATTTTTTTTACTACCCCAAACATCCTAATGAAAAGGTTCTTCACTCCTTGGTTATGGTCTGCACTGTGTGGGCTTAGTTTTGGCAGTCTAATTCCATGTTTTTTTAGCCTGAAGAGGCCTCTTAAGGGACAGGCTGCTTCGCAATCCACTGTTTTTCACTGTAGTTGGCAACTCATTTTTCAGGCCTACGGCAATGACAAGTTTCCTCCTTTTTCCAGTCAAGGCCCTTTCTACCAGGAGTGTTAGTGCTTCTGATTCAACATCAAGCTTCATCTGTTCAAGTTTATAAGGCTGTTACCTTGTCTCCTGTTCACACTTTTACAAAGGTAGATATTTTAGTTTCTGTGGTTGCCTGTTTTGGGCAGAAAGTCCTGCAGGCAGCTGTGTAGTGGTTTTGTACTTGTTTTTGCTGTGTTGTCCACCCATATTGTTCAGTGCTTTGGGACATCCCAGGTAGTCATGAATAAGAAGAAAACCTGTATCCTGTGATGTACGACAAGGAAATTAGGATTGTTGGTTTACCTGTAAAATCCTTTTCATGGAGTACATCACAGGACACAGGGATTCCTCACTTCCTGTATGGTTTCTCATTGCTTGCCACAAAATTGAAGCTGTGCCATGCTGAGAGGGGCTATTCCTGGATGGGGGAGCCTGTCCCTTTTTTTTTTTTTTATTTAATTTAATTTTTTTGGCCAGTATTCATTTTTCTGTAGCAGGCAGTATGGTCCAAGTAGTAATGAATAAGTGGAAACCATGTGTCCTTTGATGTACTCCAAGGAAAGGATTTTACAGGTAAGCCCATTTTTTAATATTGTGTATTAACTTATATTGGTTTCCTGGCTTTGTGAGAGTTTTAATCACAAAGGAGAGTCCGACCAGTTTTGACAGATAAGTTGTCTGTGCTGCCCTAGTCAGTCTGCATGAAAAACCGAATGAGTGAAGCACAATGGAGAGCAGCCTGTATTTTATGAATTTGGGAACACCTGATGCAGTTTGAAATGATGGTTCTGTAAATAAAGTATTGCAGTTGATATTCTTTTTATAGTCGGGAAGTCTGTTTTACACAATAGATAATCGTATGTTACTGCACAGTTCACATTGTGGCAGTGCAGTATCCTGCCATGGTGGAAATCACAATGGAGACCCAGGATTCTCAACCATACAGGTTGAGGGGCTCCAGGCAGTTCTCATAATGCAGAGGAAACGGGTTTATCAGTTTCCTCTTTGGTTTGTAAAGCCTGTTTTGGGACCTGTAGCCTGGAGATTTCTAAGAGATTTGGGAGGGATGAAATCTCCAATCCTGGGCCCATGTTTTGAGAGCAGCCAGCGCGATGATTGCACAGGTGTGTGCAGGCCTTTTTGTGGAGGCCAGGCCATGATTCTGTGCTCCACCCCGGCAGATAGGAGTCAGGAGGGCTTCACCTAGTGGAGGTGGAAGCCAGACAAGCTGTGTGCTATTGGAAAGCCATTTTGGATAGAGTCAGGAGACAGACGGTAATCGGTGTACAAGCCAGAAGGCTGAATATCATTTGCTTTTGATGGTGGATACCCCTGTGTGGGAAGCATTTTTGTTATTTGAACTTTCTTGTAAATAAAATTGGGCAAAAAGGCCCTTAAAGAAGCGAGTTGCTGTGTGCTTTAACAAGAAAAGCTCTACCGGTTTGAAGCGAGTTCCCACAACATCTAAAGGGATGGTGGGGCTGCTGTATTTCAGAAAACACCATAGCAGCCTTGCAGCTGTTATCTGTAAAGTGTAACTTTAGTTAGAAAATGTAAGT